TTTTTTTTTTTTTTGGTAATTACATGTCTTCCTTTCAAGGGTCCAGATTACAGACTCTACAAGAGTGAGCCAGAGTTAACAACAGTGGCGGAAGTTGATGAATCTAATGGAGAAGAAAAGTCAGAACCTGTTTCAGACATAGAAACCTCAGTTGTTAAAGGTCAGCATTTGGAATGTTTTATCTCCTATTTGTAGGAGGTTTTTGTGTTTTATCATCTCCCCAATAAATTCAGTTTATACGTTGACCCGATACATATGTAAGTCCACAGGTTACCTGAAACCTTTGGAATCTGATGGGTTTCTGAGTTAAGAAATTATCAGAATAAAAAAAGAAAGAAATTTTCCGGTATTAGGAAGATAATATGGCTGATAAACCACACACGTCATCTCAGCTCAGAAGGAGGCAGCACCAGCAGCACCCTCTTTTTTAAACGCATTAGTATTTCTGGAATAGCCTATGTCGGATAAATAAAGACTAAAAGTAACAGGCATCTGGCCGGGCGCAGCGGCTCACACCTGTAATCCTGGTACTCTGGGAGGCCCAGGCAAGTGGATTGCTTGACCTCATGAGTTTGAGACCAGCCTGAGCAGAAGCAAGACCCCATCTCTTCTTAAAAATTGAAAAACTTGGGGCGGCACCTGTGGCTCAAAGCAGTAGGGTGCCCGCCCCATATACCAGAGGTGGTGGGTTCAAACCCAGCCCCAGCCAAAAACTGCAAAAAAAAAAAATTTAAAAACTGAGGCAAGAAGATCACTTCAGCCTGAGTTGGAGGATGCTGTGAGGTACCACGCCATGGCACTCTACCGAGGGCAACAGCTTAAGACTCTGTCTCAAAAAATTAAAATTAAAATAAAAGGCATTACAGGCTCGGCACCTGTGGCTCAAGTGGCTAAGGCACCAGCCACATACACCTAAGGTGGCAAGTTCGAATCCAGCCCAGACCTGCCAAACAACAATGACAGCTGCAACCAAAAAATAGCCAGGCATTGTGGCAGGCACCTGTAATCCTAGCACTATGGGAGGCCAAGGTGTGTGGATCTCCTGAGTTCATGAGTTCCAGACCAGCCTGAGCCAGAGCAAGGCCTCATCTCTAAAAACAGCAGAGCAGGGGTGGTGCCTGTGGCTCAGTGAGTAGGGTGCCGACCCCATCTGCGAAGGGTGGCTGGTTCGAACCCAGCCCCAGCCAAATTGCAACAAAAAAATAGCTGGACATTGTGGTGGGCGCCTGTAGTCCTAGCTACTCGGGAGGCTGAGGCAAGAGAATTGGCTAAGCCCAGGAGTTTGAGGTTGCTGTGACGCCATGGCACTCTACTGAGGGCAACAAAAAAAGACTCTGTCTCTAAAGAAAAAAAAAGAAAACAGCAGAGTGATGTGGTGGGCATGGGTAGTCCCAGCTACTCAGGAGGCTAAGGCAAGAGGATCATCACTTGAAACCAAGAGTGTAATGTTGCTGTAAGCTATGACATGCCATGGCACTCTACCACACTCTACTGAGGGCAACACAATAAAATTCTCTCTTAAAAATAAAGAAATAATGTCCAGGCGTAGTGGCTCATACCTATAATTCCAGCACTCTAGGAGAGTGAGGAGGGTGGATTCCTTGAGCTCATAAGACCAGCCTGAGCAAAAGTGAGACCTCATCTCTACTAAAAATGGAAACAAACTGAGGCAAGAGGATCTCTTAAGCCCAAGAGTTGGAGGTTGCTGTGAGCTAGGACATCACGGCACTCTACCCAGGGTGACAGCTTGACACTCTGTCTCAAAAATAAATAATAAAAATTAAAAATAAAATAAAAATATGCGAAACTACTTGTACTTATGCGTTGTATAACAATATTTCAGTTCCATATAAGGCAGTGGTCCTGTAGTGTTAATTATTAATACTTACAGTGTTCAATATAGTAAGATACTACAAGCAGTCCCCAAGTTACAAACATCTGACTTAGGAGTCCATAGAGACTGGGCACGGTGCCTCACGCCTATAATCTTAGCACTCTGGGAGGCGGAGGTGGGTGGATTGCCTGAGCAAGAGTCAAATCCAATCTCTAAAAACAGCCAGGTGTTGTGGCATGCAACTGTAGTCCCAGCTACTCAGGGACTCTCTGAGGCAAGAGAATCACTTAAGCCCAAGAGTCTGAGGTTGCTGTGAGCTGTGATCTCACAACACTCTACCTAGAGCAACAAAGTGAGACTCTGTCTCAAAAAAACAAAGAAAGGGTGGTGCCTGTGGCTGAGGGAGTAGGGTGCCAGCCCCACATACCAAAGGTGGCAGGTTCAAACCTGGCCCTGGCCAAACTGCAACAAAAAATAGCCAGCTGTTGTGGTGGGCTCCTGTAGTCCCAGCTACTCAGGAGGCTGAGGCAAGAGAATCGCCTAAGCCCAGGAGTTGAAGGTTGCTGTGAGCTGTGATGCCACTGCACTCTACCAAGGGCAATAAAGTGAGACTCTGTCTCTAAAAAAAAATAGAAAAAAAGACAACATTGATAGTGGTTACTTTTTTGAGGCAATATGGTATGATTGCAAAAACCAGATATGGCTGGGCATGGTGGTACATACCTATAATTCTAGCTACTCAGGAAGCTAAGGCAGAGACATTGCAACATAGTGAGGCCCCCCATCTCAAACATCTAGGAAATTGCTGAACCATTCTGGCCCATACCTTTTGTAATATGTGAAGAGATTAAACTATTTAGAATGGTGGTAGAACTTTACCAGTGCAATAAAAGAGAACATTTTCTAAATAATGTTTTAAATGTCATTTTTTTATTCTATGCAACTTGATTTCTAAATTTAACCCTAAATTTGGTAGTATCATTGACTGACTTATGGCTCTTTTTAAATTAGCTTTCTGGGGCAGCACCTGTGGCTCAGTGAATAGGGCACCGGCCCCATATACCAAAGGTGGTGGTTTCAAACCCAGCCCTGGCCAAATTGCAACAACAACAAAATAAAAAAATAAATAAATTTAAATTAGCTTTCTGATTTTTTGTTGTTGCAGTTTTTGGCCAAGGCTGGATTTGAACCCATCACCTCTGGTATATGGGGCTGGTGCACTACTCCTTGAGCCATAGGCACCACCCCCTTTTTTTCTTTTTATTTGAGACAGAGTCTCACTCTGTGCCCTGGGTAGATGGGTAGAGTGCAGTGGCGTCACAGCTCACAGCAACCTCAGACTCTTGGACTTAAGCAATTCTCTTGCCTCAGCATCCCAAGTAGCTGGGACTACAGGCGATTTTTGTTGTTGTTGTTGTTGTAGTTGTCATTGTTGTTAGGCAGGCCCAGGTTGGACTCAAACCCACCAGCTCTGGTGTATGTGGCTGACGCCCTAGCTAGCCACTGAGCTATAAGTGCCAAGCCAGCTTTCTGATTTTTAAAAGCGTCAAATTTAGCATGTCAAAAGAAAGCAATGTTGGATAAAAGATGTCTTGTAGAACTTACTGCTGTTTTAATTTTTAGGTTCTCACTTTCCTGTTGGAGTAGTCCCACCAAGAACAAAATCACCAACACCTGAATCATCAACAATAGCTTCATATGTTACCTTAAGGAAAACTAAGAAGATGATGGATCTAAGAACGGTATTTAACTTAAAATTAATGTCTAAAAGATTCTCAGACCCATGTATTGCTTTCTTGTCTTTTTCCACTTTATCAGAATTCTTTCTTACTTTAATAAAAATGTAGTAATATAGTTCTTTTTGAAATTTTCTTTAGAGAATTAACACCTCAGGCTTAGTGCCCATAGCGTGATGGTTACAGCGCCAGACACATGCACTGAACATGATGGGTTCATGCCTGGCCTGGGCCAGCTAAACAACAGTGAAAACTGCAACAAGAAAATAGCCAGACTTGGCTCGGTGCCTGTGGCTCTAGTGGCTAAGGCGCCAGCCACATACAAGTAAAGTGGCGGGTTCGAATCCAGCATGGCCCGCCAAACAACAGTGACGGCTGCAACCAAAAAATAGCCAGGCCTTGTTGTGGCAGG